CGTGCTCCTCATATCGTCTGACTCATGTTTCAGTATTACTGAAAAGGGTCATTTCAGCTCCTCACATCCGGGATTGGGTTCTTTCAGTCATGATCCAGTCCTCAGGACCAGACTTAGGTTTTTTCTTCTCCACCACAGAAAAGAACATGTTTCTGGGTCTCCAGGGACAGGATGTTTCAAATCTTTACTGAACAGTAAAAAAGAAAGAAGTTCTTATCTTTAAAGTCTATTAATGAAGTGTAAATTGAGTTTCCTGCTGCTTCTGTGTTCTGTTAGTATTCTGCAGGTGTTGCACCTGAGCGAGCAGCGTCTGCAGCTTCTGAATCTGCAGATCTGACCTGAGTCTCTGCAGAGCAGAGCAGCTGGAACACAGAGAGGCGACACTTCTGAAGTTCAGCTTTTGCTTTTAGAAAGTGGAGGAAATCGTTAGAAGAGGCCCGAGAGGTGAGGCCGAGGCTTTGTGTTCTCCTGAAGCTGCAGGTCAGAGTCTGACCTGTGACTGTCTGAGAGCCCGACTCGTCCTCCAGGAACACACTGGAAGCTTTAAAATAACTCCTCCTGCCCTTAAAGGAAAGATGAAATCCACCTGAGGATCTACTTTTTATTTAACTTTAACGGAGGTTTGATATAAGCCAGTATGTCAGATGTGATCTGACATATTGATCATTTCATACATGCACAAACAGCTGTTAAATTAAAAAATGCTGATTACAAAAAAAAATCCCCACACCGTTTTGGTGCCCCCTCTAGTGCAGTGCCCCTATGCGTTACATACACTGCATACCCGCTTTTTGCACCACTTCCTGTAGAGCCAGATCTTTGACTTTTGACCCTGTGCCCGTACAATCTGACCTTTGACCTTGCTCCTGTAGAGTCTGATTTTTGACCTTTGACCTTGTATTTGTAGAATCTGATCTTCAACCTTTGACCCTGTGCCTATACAGTCTGGCATTTGACTCTGTGCCTCTAGGGTCTGACCTTTGACCCTGTGCCTGTAGAACCTAATCTTTGACCTTTGACCCTGTGCCTATACAGTCTGACCTTTGACCCTGTGCCTGTAGAGCCTAATCTTTGACCTTTGAACCTGTGCCTATACAGTCTGGCCTTTGACCCTGTGCCACTAGGGTCTGACATTTGACGCTGTCTGTAGAGTCTAATCTTTGACCTTTGACCCTGTGCCTATACAGTCTGACCTTTGACCCTGTGTGTAGAGTCTGATCTTTGACTATTGACCCTGTACCTGTAGAGCCTGACCTTTGACCCTGTGCCACTAGGGTCTGACATTTGACGCTGTCTGTAGAGTCTGATCTTTGGCTTTTGACCCTTGGCCTCTTGAGTCTGACCTTTGACCCTGTTCCTGTACAGTCTGACCTTTGACCATTTTCCTGTAGAATCTGACCTTTGACCCTNTTAACTTTAACTTCAGCTCGTTAGCTTTAACTTCAGCTAGTTAACTTTAACTTCAGCTAGTTAACTTTACCTTCAGCTCGTTAGCTTTAACTTCAGCTCGTTAACTTTAACTTCAGCTCATTAGCTTTACCTTCAGCTGTTTAATTGCTGGTTGTTGTCTCTGTGAGCAGCTAAAATAAAAACCTTGCTTTAAATTGATCAGTTTTCTTCAGCTGGTGTTTTTATCTTTTCCTCTGCTGCCCTCTTCTGACACAAACCTCTCACAGCAGTTTGGACCTCAGCTTGTCTTCAATGAGGGACTGGCCTCAGCTGTAGAACCCTTTGTTCTACAGAGTGGTCCACTCAGCAACACATCAGGCTGACAGCTTGAGCAGAACTTCAGCTGATAACAGGAAGCCTGAGAAGCCGAAGCTGTTTGGTTTTTCAGGACAACATGAACGAAATGAAACAGGTTTGAACAGAATAAATCCTCTGAACGCTCAGGGCCAAGCGACAGCTAATTTACAAACACTAAAAACAGCTAAAGGCAAAACCTTATTTTTTATTCAGTGAAAAACAAGTCAAACATTTTATCAACTTCAGAGCTTTTTATTATCTGATAGAAATCATAGCAGTGTCCCCCTGAAGGACTGACATGTCCAGACTGGACGTCCATCAGGATCTGGTCTCCAATGTTCAGGAACTGCCTGAAGAAACTGGACCGGAGCTGCAGGAGGACACTGGGTTTCCTGTTCAACAGCTGTGATGTCTCTGTTGTCTCCTGGACGAAGCCCATCTGGTCCCTGCCGTCCTCAGATAAAAACGACTCTCGTGTAAAATAAACCTTCTGACGTAAACATTTTGAGGTTTTATGTTTTAAATGTTTGGACTGAGATGGACCAAATGCTTTCTTTCTCCTGGTTCCTTGTTTCTGATCCTAGAACCAGAACCAGACTGAACAATAAAGCAAACATAAAATAAAGTTTCATGTTTTAAACTGAGACTTACAGTATTTACAGACAGTAGGCAGTTGTCCTATACAATCAGAGAACATACAGAGAAATATACGAGTCACAACGTGTCCAAACAGAGGACAGTGTCTCTACCTGTCCTGATTTACAGGAAGGACAATAATCACTTCCTGGTTCATGTTTTGCTTGTTGCAGGTTTTTGTCAGTGGTTTAACTTCCTGTTTGTTGTTCTGAGAGGAACCAGAACTTACACCAGAACCTTTAGAGAAACACGGGTTGAAACAGGATCTGCAGCGTTCGGCTGAAAACCTTCAGTTTGTTCTTAATAAATCCGTAAACTGGAGCTGAAACAGCTGAAGGTTCAGTCCTGAACCCGAAACATCAGCTGAGTCTGACAGAAAAACAGGAACTTCTTTCAAAGGACTGAGAGTTCTGTTTGTGACCCCGGGCCGGTTCTGATGTGTCGCCTGAGCTCAGAGTGAACATCTGGATCCAGATGTTTGAGTGAAGTCATGTATGATGTCGGATGTCCATCAGCTGAAATTCAAACGTATCCTTTCAAATTAAAGCTTCTAGTTTTATAAAACAGATGGATTTTCTTTCAGTTTTAATTTGAAAATATTTTCTCTTTAGAATCTGAAATGTTCCAGTTGTCTCTGCTGACGACACCAGCAGCTAAAAACAAACAAATAAAACTCATTTGGACGTTTTACAAGAGCTTGATTGAACCAGTCAGTGCCAGAACTTTTCTTTTAGCTTTAAATTGGTTTTTATTTTACCTTCACTAACTCAATTTCAGCTTCATAGTAGAGTTCAGCTGTCATTCAGCTAATTTCAGTAGAGTTCATCTATACTTCAGCTGATTTCAGCAGTCGTCCAGCTCTCAGTAGCTGCGTTTCCATTGCAAATGTGCGCAGAACTTTGTCGATATTCTGTTAATGTCAAAAAACATAGTTTCGCAACTGCTGTGTTTCATTAAGTAAGAAATACTGTTAAAGTCACTCGTGAATACGTTTGTTCTCGCAATAAATCATTACAAACATGGCGCCGATGGATGTAACCGCAGTTGCTGCGACACTAGTGCTCATCAGAGGAGACGTCTGCGTCTTTTATCTGTCAGAACCAACAAAATAACCCAGTGCACAGGCAGGTTTCAAAAATCAAAAAGCACGTGGCCTTTAATGAAAACTCAAAGAGGCTGATAATACAGCAAAAACTCACTTGACTTGGAGGTANCTTTGACCCTGTGCCTGTAGTCTGATCTTTGACCTTTGACCCTGTCCCTGTAGAATCTGATCTTTGACCTTTGGCCCAGTGCCTGTAGTCTGATCTTTGACCCTGTGCCTGTAGACTTTGATCTTTGACCTTTGACCCTGTGCCTGTAGTGTCAGAGTTGACCCCTGCTTTAGTCTCAGTCTCTGAGGATCTTCTAATGTAGAAACATTTTTATTCTCTTCTTGTTTTCTGACTCGACCCCCAGCAGCAGTTTATTAATTTTTTACATCTGATTTGATGAACATCAGAAATGTTTTCTGTTTTGTACTTTAATTGATTTGGAAGCAGCAGCTGAGTGAACATCTGTTTGTTCACGGAGACAAATCTCACAGTTCATTTAAAGTTCGAGATGAGATTCTGATTGTCTTCACAGAACGATGTAAACATTTTAGTTTTTAAATCAGCGTCTCTGTCATCCTGACGATCCAGCCCCAGACTCTCCTTCTGTTCAGTTATATCCCTCCTCCTCTCCCTCCTCTTCCTCCTGCTTCAACATATTTGTGGTGAAGCCTGGAGGTTAGGAAAGTAGGCGTGCGAGCAGCAAATCACTGCCTCCAACTTTCAGACCATCTGCGAGGAAATATGGGAGGGGAAGTGAATCAAAACTGTTCTTCATCATCATCTCCTCCTCCTCCTCCTCAGAGGACCGTGAATCCTGGCAAGTTTTTAATCTGACTCCTGGTTTCTGTCCATGTTCTGACACATCCTGGACTTCTTTATTCATCAGATCTGGCTGAGAGAGGAGTTTAACTGCCAGATCCTCAGAGGCTGAGCCCAAAACCCTTCTGGTCTAGGATCTGGTTCTGTAGTCTTGGTCCAGACCTCAGGACCACAGGTGAGGGAGGGACCATAGAAGGATCCAGTTTAGATTCAAGTCCTTCCTCACCAGGACCGACGAAAACAACATTTTCATTACTGAAGAAGAGGATCCACCCTCATCCTTCCATCACTCAGGAGGAAGACCCTCAGAGACCCTCTGAGACCTGAAACCCTCCTTCAGCTCAGATCCAGGTTTAATGCTGCTGGTTCAGAACCAGCTCCTCCTCTGATTTGGAAAAACCTTCATTCTTGTCTGGAAGCTGTTTTTATTTTTATTGGTTTATTTTTGATCAGCTGCAGATAAAACCTCCTACTGGTCCTCCTGATCCTCCTGATCCTACTGGTCCTCCTGATCCTACTGGTCCTCCTGGTCCTACTGATCCTACTGGTCCTACTGGTCCTCCTGATCCTCCTGGTCCTACTGGTCCTCCTGATCCTCCTGATCCTACTGGTCCTCCTGATCCTCCTGGTCCTCCAGATCCTACTGGTCCTCCGGATCATACTGGTCCTCCTGATCCTCCTGATCCTACTGGTCCTCCNAAGCAGGACACGACCAGGTAGACAGAACAATGATCCGACAATGAGACAGAGACAAGACTGAGCTTAAATACACAGAAACCTAATGAGGGAACAGACAACACCTGGGGAGAAATACAAGGGTAATCAGCAATGTGAAGTGGGGCAGCTGAGCTGAGACACACGGGAACATAGAAACACTAGGAAAAACCAAGGCCTAAAATGACAAACCATGACAGTACCTCCCTCTTAACGATCGTCACCAGACGATCAACAAGGAGAGGCACGGGACAAGGGGAGACGTGACAAGACAGAACTTGAAGACAAGACATGAAAGTTCAGGGGGACGGCCAGGGAACCCTCCATGGCGAGGCCCCACAGAAGCAGACATTGAGCCCCAGGAGGAGGCGGGAGCAGACAAGGAGCCAAGGGAGGAGGCAGGAGGCGATGAGGAGCCGTCGGAGGTTGATGGAGCCAGAGCCTTGGCGACGGCGAACACAGGCGACAGAGGGGACGAAGAGGCGACGACTTGACGACATGGAGGCGACGGCAGCCGAACCAGGCGATGAGGAGGTGATGGGCAATGAGCCAGGCAATGGGCGACGTGGAAGCAACGGCAGCCGATCCAGATGTCGTTGAGGCGCCGGCAGCCGACTCACGAACCTCAGAGAGTGCCGACTAGGGGCTCGCCAACACCGGAGACATCGGGACCACCAACTGTGGAACCACCGGGACCTCCAATTGTAGAACCACTGGCTGTGGAACCACCGGAACAGGAACAACTGGCTCAGAAACCACCAGCTCAGGAACCACCAGAACTGGAACCACCAACACTGGAACCAGAAACACTGGCTCAGGAAGCACTGGAACAGGAACCCGAACAACCGTCGCAGGAGGAGCAGAAGGGGTGGGAGGGTTGGTACCAGATGACTCTCCCAAAACCCTCTGCACAAACCGGTGGAGCAGCTGATGGCCTGGCAGGAGGAGCAGATCTGGGCGCTCCCCCAGAACGCGTTCTATCTGCCGGCAGATGGAAAATCTGTTGGAGAGCATTGAGATCCCACTGAGGAACTTCACCGACCCTCCAATGATGAGGGATATCACCTGTTCCTCCCAGGGGGGCAAGGACGGGACCAGCTTCTCAAGGGCAGAAGGAGGAAGACCAGCCGAGGCGGGCCCAGGTGACGCTGGTGGACTCCAACAGCGAGAGGAGAAAGACCGGCTCACCGAGGGGCGGCGAGAAAAAAAATCTTGCTCCTCTTTAAAAAAAAAAACCCGAAAACGGGGAGCCTGTGGGCTGGGTGCGTGGTCGGATCATTATGTCAGGACCAACAAAATAACTCAGGGCACAGGCAGGTTTCAAAAATCAAAAAGCACGWGGCCTTTAATGAAAACTCAAAGAGGCTGATAATACAGCAAAAACTCACTTGACTTGGAGGTAGACAAAGAACAAGAAGCAGGACACGACCAGGTAGACAGAACAATGGTCCGACAATGAGACAGAGACAAGACTGAGCTTAAATACACAGAAACCTAATGAGGGAACAGAAAACACCTGGGGGGAAATACAAGGGTAATCAGCAACGTGAAGTGGGGCAGCTGAGCTGAGACACACGGGAACATAGAAACACTAGGAAAAACCAAGGCTTAAAATGACAAACCATGACAAGTACCTCCCTCTTAACGATCGTCACCAGACGATCAACAAGGAGAGGCACGAGGCTTTCCAGCGACAAGTCCCTACTTGGGAGCGGCTACGTATGCTGTGTTTTTGGGAAATTGTAGTCGGTGAGTTTACTATTTCATACTACTCCTGTGATATTACCACTATTTCTACTTCCTGTTATCTTCTTCGTCATCATCTTTTTCGCCAGTAGAAACAGCCGGTTGTTGATCACGTGACTCCCATGATGTGAAAAGTGTTTCTATTGCAGTTTTGCAAAAAACACCAATTTAGATACAGCCGAAATACCACCTCATCCTAGCGCAAAAACATTTTGTCGAAAAACGTAATTTTTTTCCCGAAATTGACGTGTTTCCATTGAGCAAATTTATTTTCGAAATTCTAATTTGCGCATTTTCATGGTCAATGGAAACGCAGCAAATGTTTATGTTGAAATCTTTCCAAATTAAAAGTTTTAGTTTATGAAAGAAAAATCCGCTGAAACAACATGTAGTAGCTAGAATGATTCTTCGGTTGTTATCAGCTAAAAAATATTTGGCACTGAAGCTGAAGAATAAGGAACAAAGTGATTTCTCATCAGCTGAAAAGAATGAGTTTAAACTAGAGAACTTGGCTTTTAGTTTGGTTGAGATTATTATTATTATTTCATTTTATTTTTGGCACTAATCTACTTCCATACATCATTTAAATAAAGACTAAAAGAGGAGGGAGATACCGGAGCAGGAGAATCCCTCCTCCTCCTCCTCCTCCTGCTGCAGGTCCAGTTCTGTCACAACTCTGGAAGCAGCTTCAAGAGATGGTTCGGTCTGGGTTCTGTCCCCTGCTCCTCCTCGCCCTGTTGGGGGTGTCCTCCGGCTGGGACCTGGTTCTGCTGCACACCAACGACGTGCACGCGCGCGTGGAGGAGACCAGCGTTAACTCGGGAAAATGCGGGGGAAGCGGCTCGTGCTTCGGTGGGGTGGCGCGGAGAGCCACCGCGATCCAGCGGGTCCGGAACTCGGAGCCCCACGTCCTGCTGCTGGACGCAGGAGACCAGTTCCAGGGGACTGTCTGGTTCAACGTCTTCAAAGGAGCCGAAGCCGCGCGCTTTATGAACCGCCTGAGATACGATGTGATGGTGAGGAAGAGGATTATATGTTGGATTAACTGCAGGAACAGGTGTAAACTGTAACAACAAATTATACTGGAATAACAGATTAAACTGTAATAACAGGTTTAAAACTGTAATAACAGATTAAACTGTAATAACAGATTTAAAACTGTAATAACAGATTAAACTGTAATAACAGATTATACTGCAATAACAGGTGTAAATGTAAAAAAATTAAACTGTAATAACAGGAGTAACAACAGCTGTACACTGTAATAGCAGATTAGAGTGTGTAATAACAAGTTTAATTTGTAATAACAGATTAAACTTTAATAAGTTTGATCTGTAATAACAGTGTAATAATAGATTAAACTAATAATTCAATTCAGTTTATTTATATAGCGCCAAGACAACATACGTTGTCTCAGGGCACTGTACATAAAAAGAATAATTTAAAGAAGAAACCAGCAGATTGTGTTGAATCACTTCATCACAGTCTCCCATCCTGAGCAAACAGTGGAGAGGAAAAACTCCCTGCTAATCAGGAAGAAACCTCCAGCAGAACCAGGCTCAGGACAGGCGGTCATCTGCCTCGACCGGCTGGTTGAGGGACAGGAAGGAGACACAGGTAAACACAGAAGAACTGGTCCAGGTGCACCTTCTGGAAGAGACAAAGATAAAAAACATGAAAGAAATAATTAAAATAAATGTAGAGAAGAGAGACTAAAGACAGAGTGAGGAAATGTGCTCAGTTTGTGCTCCAGCAGTCTAAAGGGCTCGACACACGGGCAGCGACAAACTACAGCGATTAACGGCTGTCATCGCAGTCAGGGTGAAACCCGACACACGGGACGCGACAGCGATCGCAGCGTTGTGAATCACACTCTCAGGTTGCTTGTCTTCACGAAATTTGATTGGTTCTTGACTCTGATGGCGGGTGTGCATTACGGACGTGTAAACTAAACAAATCTTGCGATGCTAATGATATTGAAAAACAAACATACATCAAGATACAATTTTATGAGGAAAAACTTACCATAAACTTCACCCTGGTGCCAATAAATTCCCACAAAGCTGCCTTTTTTAATAATCACTTGGTGAAAGTGTTAGCTAACGGCAATGTGTAGCATACTCTCCTCTCATTGGTCAGTCAATGAAACCCTTGCTGATTGGTTGTACGCTAAGCGACAGCGACAAAAGTTGAACATTTTTCAACTTTCATATGTCGCGTCGCAAGCTCGCGTGTGCACGTCTACGTGTACGTGCGCGAAATTTCACATGCACTATTTTCGCCAGTTGCTTAGCACTTAGAACTGATTCAGAAGGCGAAGCTCTCGGTTTACCGGTCGGTCTATGTTCCAACCCTCATCTTTGGTCACGAGCTTTGGGTAGTAACTGAAAGAACGAGGTCACAGATACAAGCGACTGAAATGAATTTCCTCCACAGGGTGTCTGGGCTCTCCCTTAGAGATACGTAGGCTGAGAAGCTCAGTCATCTGGGAGGGACTCAGAGTAGAGCCGCTTCTCCTCCACGTCGAGAGGAGCCAGTTGAGGTGGCTCGGACATCTGGTTAGGATGCCTAATGGACGCCTCCTTGGTGAGGTGTTCTGGGCATGTCCCACTGGGAGGAGGCCCAGAGGAAGACCCAGGACACGCTGGAGGGACTATGTTTCTCGGCTGGCCTGGGAACACCTTGGGATTCCCCTGGATGAGCTGGCCCAAGTGGCTGGGGAGAGGGAAGTCTGGGTCTGTCTGCTTAGGCTGCTGCCCCTGCGACCCGACCCCGGATAAGCGGAAGAAAACAGACAGATGGACGTTTAAACTGTAATAACTGATGAAATAACAGATTAAACTACAGATTTATGCTTTAATAACAGATTAAACTATCTTTGACTCGTTGCGTTTGTTTCTCAGGTTTTGGGGAACCATGAGTTTGATAACGGTGTGGACGGTCTTATGAAGCCCTTTCTGGAGAACGTTAACTTCACCATCATCAGCGCCAACATCCGACCGGACCAAACTCTGGCGGCCACCTTTGGAAAGTCCTTCATGCCGTACAAGATCTTCAAAGTCGGTGATCAGAAGGTGGGAGTGGTGGGATACACGTCACGAGACACATCGTCTCTGTCCAAACCCGGTAAGTTCTGCTGCACACCGTTCAGAATCTGAGCCTGAATGGTGGAAATGGGTTGTTCTGAACATCCTGCTTCTCAAACTGTGGTACAAGTACCTCTGGTGGGACTAGGAAGAGGTTCTGGTGTCCACTTTCAAAAGACAAAACAGCTGAAGAAGCTCTGAGCAGAGACTGTTTGGTTTTGAACCTGAAAACTAAACAGTTTCTGTCTCTGTTGACCCAAAACACTTCAGACGATTCCAGGAAAGACATGAGTTCTGGACTCTGGAACCAGCCGAGCGATTCTGCTGGAAACTGATCCACTTCCTGTCAGGCAGAACCTGAAGACTTGTTTAGTTTTCACTCAGACTGCTTCTGAGTCTGCAGTCCACAGATCTGTCTCTGGTCTCTGGTCCACATATCTGTCTGGTCTCTGGTTCACTGTATCTGTCTCTGGTCCACAGATTTGTCTCTGGTTCACATATCTTTCTCTGGTCTCTGGTTCACATATCTGTATCTGTCTCTTGTCCACAGATCTGTCTCTGGTTCACATATCTGTCTCTTGTCCACAGATCTGTCTCTGGTTCACATATCTGTATCTGGTTCACATATCTGTCTCTGGTCTCTGGTTCACAGATCTGTCTCTGGCCTCTGGTCCACAGATTTGTCTCTGGTTCACATATCTTTCTCTGGTCTCTGGTTCACATATCTGTCTCTGGACTCTGGTTCACATATCTGTCTCTGGTTCACATATCTTTCTCTGGTCTCTGGTTCACATATCTGTCTCTGGTCTCTGGTCCACATATCTGTCTCTGGTCTCTGGTCCACAGATCTGTCTCTGGTCTCTGGTCCACAGATTTGTCTCTGGTCTCTGGTTCACATATCTTTCTCTTGTCCACAGATCTGTCTCTGGTCTCTGGTCCACATATCTGTCTCTTGTCCACATTTCTGTCTCTTGTCCAAAGATCTTTTTCTGGTCCACAGATCTGACTGTGGTCTCTGGTTCACATATCTGTCTCTTGTCCACAGATCTGTCTCTGGTTCACATATCTGTCTCTTGTCCACAGATCTGTCTCTGGTTCACATATCTGTCTCTTGTCCACATATCTGTCTCTTGTCCAAAGATATTTTTCTGGTCCACAGATCTATCTCTGGTCTCTGGTTCACATATCTATCTCTTGTCCACAGATCTGTCTCTTGTCCACAGATCTGTCTCTTGTCCACAGATCTGTCTCTTGTCCACAGATCTGTCTCTTGTCCACAGATCTG